TCACGAAAGACATTTTTCCCTGAGCCAACTTCAACAATATGTGGCAGCGAATACCGTATCCGTGACGAACAAAACTCTGCGATTTAATACTGCCATCTTGTGCAATGAGTACAATCAACACTAGCACATCACTGCCTACCTTCAACATGTTCTGCTTGCATCTATGACAAATACGACATACGCATATACGCTTCCTACGCCACTATTTAACATAGGAAGATTCTTCCTATGACAAATATTGGCGAGTCAACTTCGTTCCGCTTTACAGCTAAAATTCACTGCTTGCGTTCATAATAGCGCTCCTAAACTCCTATGATGCGCACAACACATAGGCCTACAACAATAGCTGTCATAAGAAGAATCTTCCTATAACAATTAGTGTCATAAGAGAGCTTATATGCGTGTGTCGTATTTGTCATAGATGCTAACAAAACAGGCTGTTACCTTAGCGGAGTAGACACCTTACGTCGTCTGAAGTTTGCAGCGATCGAGAAGTGACGAGCAACGAAAATGGATGTTTTTTATACGGAAACTCTCGTCCTTGGCATCAGCTGAAGGCGACGTGAAAGTGGTGGGTGAACATGCGTGTGATTGCAGGGAAGCAAGGGGTGGCAAGCGCGACCCACTCATTAACATACTGAGCAAATTCGCAGGCCAATAACACTGTCATTTGTACTGGCATGCGTGTATTTTCACTACACAACGGGCGAGCGCGTGCGCCCGGAGGGGGGTTACACATGTAACCTTTCTCGTGACGTCGGTGAAATGATGTAATCTATATTATTAGCAAGTATGGTAATAATTAATAATGTGACTCTCGCATTTTACTGATAATTAACCCACTCGTTAAATTGACTACGTCACGAATTTTCTATGGTGTATATTTGTAGATTTTTGTTGCCATTTTTTTACATTAAAAGTAAGTACTAACGGAACTAAATGTATCCTCAAATTCTTACCTGATAACATTGTTTCTCAACTATTTAAAAATCCAAAAAACCTGGACGATTTGATATTATGATCCTGACATTTATTGCTTGCTATATGGCTATGTATAAGTCACGAGTGTATGTTTACATCGAACAATAATATAGTAAAATAGGAAGTATAATGCAGCAATTTAATCATAAAACGTAAACAGAATTACTTACATGTTGTGAAAAAGTGGAAATATTTTTGTACTTTTACTATTTACGGTGACGTAATCACTTTAATGTGCCGAGCGAAGTCGTAGGTAAACACCACTGTCATATATACTGGCACCGTGACAGCGTAGCTGTGCCCGGGGGGGGGGTACACCTGAAACTCACCTTTACTCGTACGTTGTAATAGATTAGAGCATTGCATCATGCTAACATGTTAGCGCATTACTAACAAACATCTTACACCAGTTTTAATATTGAACCTTTCTTTGGAATAACTACTAATACACATCGAATTCTGGCTATTTTGCTATGATGTTGTTTTGCGTAAAAGAAAGGACGAGAAGGCAGCCTATGAATTAATACTTACTAAAACCTAGAAATAACAAGAATGTAGATAGAAAAACAGAAATAGTACGCAGAAGTGTAGCATATGAACCTATTTATACAGTTCTAATATAGGCAATTAGAAATGAATAGCTGAATATAGAGAGATGACTATGGATGGATAGACGCACGGACGAAAGTACAGACACGCACAGGCTGACAGACACCAAAAATAAACAGGACTGTGCAGTTGTACACCATTTTAGCTCACTGCTCTCATTCATGCGACCTCATCGTGGTGTGAATAGGCAGCAATTCTCGTTTAAATAGAGGCTCATGTTTTGCTCATGAAAAAATGTCTTTCGGGATTAAGCAACGATTGTCATGCCGCTCATATCTTAGTGTATCTTGAACGCAACTATGTTGTCTGCTGTCGTTTGCAGTAAGCTGTCTAAATGTTGTCCGCTACATGACAGAGAAGCTCCAGCAACATATATATTTATGTACAATATGCTATTTTAATATTCCATCATATTACATACGGTCATGGTTGATTACTTTACATGTATAGAGGAAACATAATATGCTCTTACGCTTACATAATTCGAGAATGCAATAAAGATCATGCAAGTGTGATATTCATAGGCCCTGGATAATAATTTCTACCTTAATTACTGCTAGTCATAAATTATACTCATTAATATAGATACAAATTTCTTTCAATTTGGAAATGTTGATTTTATAATGTTACCACCCGTAATTCTGGTTGAGGCCGTACGCCCCATTACCAAGTTCGTATCCACCATTACCAAGTCCGTATCCACCATTGCCAAGTCCGTATCCACCATTGCCAAGTCCGTATCCACCATTGTCATATCCGTATCCACCATTGCCAAGTCCGTTTCCACCTTTGCCAAGTCCGTATCCACCATTGCCAAGCGTGTATCCACCTTTGCCATGTCCGTATCCTCCATTACCAAGTCCGTATCCACCTTTGCCAAGTCCGTATCCACCATTTCCAAGCGTGTATCCCCCTGTGCCATGTCCGTATCCTCCATTATCAAGTCCGTATCCTCCATTACCAAGTCCGTATCCACCCTTGCCAAGTCCGTATCCACCATTGTCAAGCCTGTATCCACCTTTGCCATGTCCGTATCCTCCATTACCAAGTCCGTATCCACCCTTGCCAAGTCCGTATCCACCATTGTCAAGCCTGTATCCACCTTTGCCATGTCCGTATCCTCCATTACCAAGTCCGTATCCTCCATTACCAAGTTCGTAT